TCTCCCAAAAAAAAAAAAAAAGGGCATCGTGGGTAAACTACAGACACGAGCATTTTTCCAGAAACACCCATGCGAGAGAAAGGCCAGAGAGGAGCGCTGTGGGCTGACCTCGGGCTTCCTACTGTCTCCCGGTTGGAACTGTGCTCTAGTCAGTAGCCCCCAGGTCAGGCCACGCCCCTCTGGAGCGCCGGAGGACTGAGTTAGAGAGTGTGTGTAACACTGCCACATAGCGTTGGGCACGCGTGGGCTCTCACACATTAGACCAGGCGGGACACGAGGCAGACCCGGGGCCCAAGCAGGAGAGCAGGGTGGTTCCAAGAGGAGGCCGATGGATGGCCAGGTCCGGAGGGCCCCATGAGACGGCCCTGCCTGGTGTGGCAGCCTGGGAGCTCGGGCAGAGGTGCAGGCAGCAGACCCCTCACTGCCTTGAGTTTGAGCCCCTTCCCTGCAGGAGTTGGGTCCAGGCCACACCTCAGAGTGAGTGGGGCTGTCAGAAGCTGGTGTTATTGCAAGAGACATTTGCGAGTTCTAAATATAAAGAAAAATCGAATTTGGAGGGGCCAGCAGGTGACATGGTGGTTAAGACAAAAGACCTTTGTTATATTATCTTCCTTTTTTCCATGAAAAATAAGCCCTATAAACGTCTCATGGGTCAAACTGGATCTTCGGACACTTGGCCGGTGTCTCCTGTGTCCTGAGAAGCCTCAGGAGTCGGTTTTTACTGAGCGGAACAGTCTTTCTTTCTTCCCTTCAAGTACAAGGGGACTCAGGATGGCCTGACTCCCTTTGCCCAATTTCATTAACTAGATTTCACGGGACTGTAACTCAGGGACAACGAGTGCCGTCTCTCCAGTTCTGAGACATAGTAGAGCAAAACTGCCCCGAGGGCTCAACTGTTTAGCCCTCGCTTGAGATTCGGCTCTCTAAAGCCAGAGGAGGAAGTTGTGCATTCTGTCACTCGAACTCTTCTTGATGTGGGGACCCAGAAGTCACACATGAGGCCCTGGTTTGACCTTGCTGGCCATGCCAGTTCAGGCAGTCACTGCTGACTGTGACACGTGCTCTCCACGTGCCCCTCTTAGTGATGATGGGCCAGTAGTGACAGGAGCGCTGAGATTATTTGTCACTCACTGCGCCAAACCAGTGGTGTCTGGTGCTTGGAAAGCAATCGGAAATGCATTTCGGGAGCAGTAAACATGCTTAGGCGTTGCGGGCTTTGTTTTTGTTTTTAAGAGTCTGTGCACTCATTGGCGAGAAACAGAGAGGGGCAGTGAAAAAGAACATGAGAAACCAACCCCCAGGGCAGATGGCCATGCCACAATCCCTTCTCCATTCTCCTGCTGGGACTCTGGGCACTCATGCACATGTGCCTGGCATGAGTTTCAAGCTACTGGGTCTGGGATCGAACCATGGTCAGCCAAGTGGGAGTCCAGCACCATAACCACTACACCACCTCCTGGCCCTACTTATGCATTTTGATTCATCCTAGGGAGACTTTTCATGAGTAAATAATCTAAAAAGTAGAAAGTTGCACCATTGTTTACAGGAGTGAAAATGCCTAAAACTAGAAAAATGAAATAAGTAAATAA